AGATTCAAGTCAGGGTGGAGAAAGGGCGACATATATAAATAATCAGGAAGATGACCAGAATGGAAGCCATCACAATCAAAGAGAAGATGATATCTGACATAAACAGGATGAGACCAGCTTACCCAGACCAGCAGCCCGCCCTACCAGCCCCTGCAGACACAGAGTGAACAGTGTGGCCATGTTGAGGAGTCTCTTACAGCTCTGCCACCGTCTTGGCTCTGGACCAGTAACAAAAGAAGCTTTGACCGTTCACTGGTGTGGGTTTGAAGTAACACGTGCTGCAGCGTCTTTATCGGCTGTCGGACACTTTGACACAGGGAGTGGGAGTTAAACTTTTTCTTCAGAGATGAATCTCACACAAAATGAAAGATGCTTTGTTGCAGATTTAACTACTAGCTTCTTTGCATCTGCAGTTCTTGGGCAGGTACACTACAAAATTCAAAACATGTTCCCACTGAGATACGTATGTGTCAAAACACCTTAAGTCTAATTGATGTTATCAGATTTTATTAGTGCTGACAAGAATAAATCCATTCATCCATTTTCTGTAGCAAGAGTGTAAACTGGACTCTGCGCAGACAGATTATGGCTGATAGAAGGTGGAAAATAATTCTGTGTACAACTGGTCACACTAGTAGTATACTGTAGGAGTGTATGTTGTTTTATAGCAGCCAGCTGGACGGAGGCCTGACCAGGAGGGTAAACCCAGGACTTATGGGTACTGGTATCCAGTCAGAGCTCTCGCAACTCATTTAAAGGTCATGGGTTGCAGGTTTACTATATGAATGTTACTGTTGCCTTTTGATCAAAGCTGTTTAGAGAATAAAAACAGGTTCTCACCAGTCTGGCGTTTGGCATCTCATACACTTTGGAACAAAACTCTGAACTTCTCTGTCACCTTTACAATAAAAAGACAAGCTAAGAGCACCAGTTAGCTCCATCAGCAGCTGCCATTTGCATTCAGCTTTGCTTTCTCTCCACTAAGTTTGTTTTATTTGTCATGTCTTTTTGTCTCCAGGCTCTTTTGTATGATGTTGACAAATGAAGCCAGCGGCCTTGTCTTCATCGCCCGAGCAGCTCAGGACGGCGAGACAGACTGTCCACACCTCATTCCTTGAAACGGTGAACTGTCCCTTTAATTGTTTTGAAGGCCCCTTGTTTCATGTTTACGTCTGAACAATGACATTACAAACGGGGCAGGGGCCCTGACCGGCGCTCTGCCTCTGGGAGGAAGGCGACTGGCTCGACGGCTCGTCCTGTATCTGACTTTACAGAAAATCCTCTGCCTTTATTTCATATTCATGGTGTTGGTGCCTTGACATATATGTGACTTGCTTTACATTCCAGAGGGAAGCTGCTGTGAAAACCAAATGGATGCTTTCAACACCTGGTGTTAGACGACAGCATTTCCTAAACTCTGAGATTTCCAGAAAGGAGTTATCTGACATGCTACACCCCACTTTGCTTCTACCCTCTCTGTTAAAACTGTTGTGGTAGTGAAGTGGATATTTTGCTGGACAGCAGGTTGTAACAGAGAGGTGTTTCTCTGGCAGGAAGTGGAGGCGGGAGGTGTTTGGGTGGTCCCTGCTCCACCGGGGAGCTAACTCCAGCCTCCAGTCTGAAGCTAGCGTTAGCTGGCTAACAGGAAACGTGTCAGTCCAGTAGGAACATCTGGTTACTGCTGATGTGACACAAAGCTCCAGTTCCTCCCAAATTAAAATCATATTCATTCAAAGGTAAAATCCTGACCATGCTAGGTGGCTAATGCTACCAAAACAAACAGGTTAGCTTTAGATGCTAACACATCCAGAAGGAAGAAGGCTACATCTGAATCCAGTCTGAGTCCTCTGGCTGCTTTTAACCCTCTCCATGTCAAACAGCCAAACCCATGTTAACCCTGGTTGTTGCTCTGTCTTTGTCCCACTCTCTCTGTGCTAAAGACGCCACCTCTTCACTCTGACAGCTGCTGGTTCAGACTTTTAGCTGCCCAGAGCTCCTCCATGGCAGTTTGACATGACTGCTGGCTGGAAAAACCCTTCTTCTAACCTTGGCTACGGGGCAGGCGGGGCTAATTTACAGATCGTACTTTGACAACACAGGGTGGAGAAGCTGGAATAACAAGAGGAGGCTGTGGGCAGCAGAGGGTCATGGAGGGGGGGTGTAGCTGGGAGACACCATATCCTGCTTTAACACTGATAAAATGACCTTCCACACTGACAGTCAATGTTTACTGCACCACTCTTTAAGATCTCCTCTACACAAAGTACAGAGCCGGTCAGAGACCAGCTGGGGAACACAGTGGAGCATTTAGCAGCTCCAGAGCCAGAGGTTTCCCCTCAGGAGGTGTTGGAAACCAAACACAGAGCGAACAGAGAGGGAGCACCGGGCTGAGGCTCATCAGGAGACACGGACACACTATGCATGTTGAGCTGGAGCTGCTGGGTGTTGTTTTCATCTGCACTCACCATGATTTGTGAACTCTGCCAAAGTAACAGCTACTAGTTGTGGCTGGTTTGTCACTGTGGCTCATCTTAGCTTGAAAACAAGACAACTATAGTCTAATTTTAACTGACTGGAAGCCGAAACCAAAGGCTTTACACTCAAAGTGACCAGCTTGATAATGTGGATGTACAGTGGGTACGGAAAGTATTCAGACCCCCTTAAATTTTTCACTCTTTGTTATATTGCAGCCATATGCTAAAATCATTTCAGTTCATTTTTTTCCTCATTAATGTACACA